AGCTGTGACAGAAGTAAGAAAAAAAGACTGTAGCCTTCAAATACACCCGGATCTGAGACACACTACCGGAGCCCTCGCTCCCCCGGGGTGAACTTGGTTTAATCTCGCAGTGACCCCGAACCAGGCTTGAGGTTGCAGCGAATAACATTTACCAGGATCTCTCGTGCTGGAGTGACAACAGTACTCGGCGTACAAGGCTTTCTTATTTATTTTTACATCCAAAACTCTCCACTGCAGACACGAACACGATTGACATGAAAACTCCATTTTATATTATATTTAGGCATGACGGGAATTCGATTCAGAATTATTTAGAAAAATAATTAATACGAAATAGTTATTATAAAATCCCCCGAAAATCTATATGTTCTGCCAAGGCAAATACAGTCGAACACAGTTGTGTTGAAGCGGAAGTGACCTACGTAACACCAAGCTTTACTTCGAGACAAACGTGAGTTCGGCACATCAAAGTTCGACACAACGGTGTTTAACTTACGTTCAACGTCTGAAGCAGTCTTAGAATGGGTACATCTAAGTTCAAAATACATACATGTATTTGTTTTGATTTTTTAATCTTACTTATTCTTTTCGACAACATTCCACATAGTTCCTGAGATATTGCCATAGTTTGTTTACCAAGGAATTAAATATCCCCGCAAATTAAAATTACTATATGACGAGTCGCCCGAATGAGTTTTGAAACTGTTTTATTGTTATTTTGTTGATATCGTGCTACTTTAATGTACAATTGCCTGTCCACTATTTGTTGAAATGCCTCTCAACAATATCCCTACCTCCTAAATGCCACCCTCTACTTTCAACTGATCCAGAATGAAATATAAACCCGATATTGACACCTGTCACGGTGATATGCACGCACAGTTATCACGGACAAGAGTCTGCACTATAAACTGGTTTACTTTTTGTGTACACGAAAGCTTACAACCTACACAAACAAAGCCATTCTAACCCATCAATTAAACTATTTTTGTCAACCCGTTGATAACTGTGTGACGTAATACTGTAAACATACTGTATTGTACCTGGCCATCAGCTGCAGGCCCGTAAGTGATGTTAAAGTTTCTGATTGTTCAACTGACCTACACTATGTTTCATCACTTGTGGACACCCAAACACGCATGAGCGCTCATTTTATGTACGCATCAGAGAGCTAGGGACAACGTTAATCAGAGAGGAGTTATCTCCCCTGTCCACGTCGATCATTCCTCATGCGGTCGATCGTATAAGCATGGACTCCTGGGCCCACTTGCACAAAGCGATGTTAGCGCCAAGACTACCGTAAGCCTATGTTCAAGTATGGCAGTTACGATCATCTAAGTGCTAAGATTCCTCTGTGCAAGTAGGCCCTGATTACAGCACACATGGGGAGATGTGCGTGATTTGCCCGGACCATCAACTACGAATGAACAGAGGCTTCTGAACAATTATATTCAACGACTTCTGTCGCTATATGGCTGAAATAATGCCGACGCGACGTTAAATTTTAAATTTTAACTCCCTCAGTGACTTCTTGGTAGCCTATATGCATAGTTTATATCAGACATATGAATTCTCAATCAGTTCACAGGGTGAAACATATGCGGTAGAATCACACTCAAACACAACAGACAGAATATATAAAAAAGGTCATCAAAAGAAACTGACAATTATTTTATTGTTGACATGTTGAAAAGAAAGTAAATGTTTGGTTTGCATAACGGGATCAAAATACACGAGAGAGGTCAAAATTGAACGCTAAGCGGGTCATATATCTTTGTTCGTTTATTGCACTAAGCAATATTCCAGCTATATGACGGCGGTCTATAAATAATCGAATCTGGACCAGATAATCAAGTGATTGACACCATGAGCATCGATCCACGCAATTGGGATACGATGACATGCATCAACCAAGTTAGCGAACCTGGCCACCGGATCCCGTTAGTCGCCTCTTACGACAATCATAGTCGCCTTTTATGGCAAGCATGGGTTGCTGAAGACCTATTCTACACCAGCTATATGACAGTGGCCTGTAAAGAATCAAGTCTGGACCAGACAATCAAGTGATTGACACCATGAGCATCGATCCACGCAATTGGGATACGATGGCATGCATCAACCAAGTCAGCGAGCCTGACCACCCGATCCCGTTAGTCGCCTTTTACGGCAAGCATGGGTTGCTGAAGACCTATTGTACCCCGATCTTCACGGGTCTATTTCTTTGTACACTCGTGGATAATACATTTAGATTCACTCTCTCATTTCTCCATTGTTCTCTCTCCCCTCATATTTTCTCTCCAATAGTATGATTTACAAACAAGGAGGATAGTTCTATTGATATACAACTTCTTTCTTAAAAAATTATGCGACGTTTCGGTTGAAATATTTACCTTGTACATACCAACTTCTAAATGCCACTTAAAGAAGTTGTGATTTATAAGATAAATTAGTACGCACGCAAGAACGCACGCATGTGTCTCTGTGACAATGTATATCGAAATAATATTTCCATATAGCAGGTGGTCCATAGTCACAGAACAGTTCACATATATATTAGGAATTCCATACTTGAAATGCTATTTTAATCAAAATATTTGTGTGCCGCTTCATTCAATATTCACACTTCACTCACAGAATTAATAAGTTTAATTCACAAGACGCAACATAAGCAGCCAATCTCGTGTCACAGAGAGAAAGGCAATGTTCTCCCTTGTAAATATAATTTAGTGTTTTTGTTATAGAAGTTGAACCGATCTGTGTCACCAGCACCTGTCGGCCTACCTGTGTTTTGAAGGCAATCAACGGGTTCAAGGCGGTAGTAATGTTAGGCAGAACTGATGAAAGTGAGTGAGCGAGTGAATGTGATTGGTTTTAACACCACTCAAACATTATTCACCAATTGATGTGTCAGACATTCCAACAGTCTTAACTAAAATTGAATACATATTTCTTATCACGGCACATAACCTGCCACGTATACCATGTTTCATAACACAATGCCAAAGTCAAAGATCCTTTTAAAAACATCAAAGAGACAGTTGAATCTCCCACCAGTCATGGATAAACACTTCTGGACAAGACACTGCACGGTGAAGATGTCAGCTGTACAGTAACCTTTCGAAATCCTGTCTGAGCTTTTGGCATCTTCTCAAAATAATCAGCAAATATAGTACTGTGCAAAACAGTTTACCAGATATGTCCATGAAATGATGTTCCGAGTTATTAACACATCTGACATGTTATGAAGTGTCGCAAAGGTTGGATATTCTGGATATTCTGCTGGATATCCCCCCCCCAAAAAAATAAAAATAAATAAAATAAATAAAATAAAATAAATAAATGATAAAAAGAAAAAAAAGTAAAAAAAAGTAAATAAATTCTTTAAAAAAAATTAAAAAAAATCAGGCCAACTGCCCAGCATAGTATAAACAGTCAGTGTTCCAGACAGCATTCACAGTAAGGACAATAACTTTATCATTGCAGCCTACCTTTAAAAAAAGGGAGCATAACGGAGTAAAAGAGAAGGCGAAAAGGAAAGAAAGAACGATAAGAGTATGAAAACTTTTTATCAAAGGATAATATATATTACAACAATCATCAAAATCCGTTTCTCAAGGAGCTTGGTATATAAAAACAGAATCAGGTGATCAGGCTCGGTGACTTCAATGCTTCCATACACGAGTCCCATGTTAGGACTCAGTCCCGTGGCATATATATGGTAGGGTATTAGGTCAAGTCCACAAGTCATACACGTAATGTCTGAGTTAGTTAAAAATAAATAACTGTAAAATCAAGGTTGTAAAGGTAGAATCAAAGTAGTAACGGTAAAAACAAGATAGGAAAAGGTAGAATCAAGGTAGTAAACGTGGCAAGAAGGTAATAAACGTGTCAAGAAGGTAATAAACGTGGCAAGAAGGTAGTAAAAGCAGTAAAGGTAGAAACACTTTAGTAAAGGTGAAATCAGGATACTAAAGGTAGAAACACGATAGTGCAAGTAGAATCAAGGTAGTACCAGAAATGGGCTTCACACATTGTACCCATGTCGGGACTAGAACCCGAGTCTTCGGCGTGACGAGCGAACGCTTTAACCACTAGGCTAAACGACCGCCCTAGTACTGGTAGAACCAAGGTAGTGAATGCACGAAGTAAAGTAGAACTGTTAGAATCCACACTTCAAAAAGGCATTTGCGCATATAAAACAGCAGCCTTTTTTAATGAGAGAATGTAATTTCCTTTCCATATGGCTGCCTAGTCCAGACTCGATTAATTACAGACTTCAGTATTATAATTGGAATATTGCTGACTGCGACAAACAAACAAACAAACAAACAAACAAACAAACAAACCATCGGTGGGGAAGGATACGCTGACCTTTCGCGAGCACCCGGTAAAAAACATGTTTATGATAGAAGTCGTAATTGTACAATGGACCGCGCTTGTGATAGATATTGCTTGGGAATATGGAAAGGTTTGTCTCTTTTATTTATCTTTGTTGAAGATATTTCTTATTTCTTTCTTTCTTTCGCCAAACCAAGTTTTCATCCTTAACATCATGCATACGTGTGTTATTGGATACTTTAAACTTTAAACCTGTTCTGTTATGTGGCTATTGTGCTAGACTTGAGACGCGAATGCAATTACATCGTTCTCCATCAGGAAGCGCGCACCATCCATGACCGGCTGCCCGGTCGATGACAGGGTCTACACAGTGCACTTGTTCCCCTGCATGACTCCGACAGTCCGACGGTGAACCGTGACACATATTGATAAAAACAAACAAGTATATACATGAACACAAGTTTATCACATATGGATAAAACTCTATTCTTCTGTACAGGACACAACACGTATATACATGAACACAAGTTAGTCAAGTCTTTGATAGGCATTTAGAAATTGGAAGAACATAAAACACGACACTTGTTATGGATAGTAACTTCTTTTATTCTTTGTCACGACGTTTCAGAGCTACTCCTTGCTCCTTCATCGTTCACCCGATAAAGGAGCAAGAAGTAGCTCTGAAACGTCGTGACATCATTCACCCGATAAAGAAGCAAGAAGTAGCTCTGAAACGTCGTGACATCGTTCAACCGATAAAGGAGCAAGAATTAAGTAGCTCTGAAACGTCGTGACATCATTCACCCGATAAAGAAGCAAGAAGTAGCTCTGAAACATCGTGACATCGTTCAACCGATAAAGGAGCAAGAATTAAGTAGCTCTGAAACATCGTGACATCATTCACCCGATAAAGAAGCAAGAAGTAGCTCTGAAACGTCGTGGCATCATTCACACGATAAAGGAGCAAGAAGTAGCTCTGAAACATCGTGACATCGTTCAACCGATAAAGGAGCAAGAAGTAGCTCTGAAACGTCGTGACATCGTTCACACGATAAAGGAGCAAGAAGTAGCTGAAACGTCGTGACAAAGAAAAAGAGAAGTTGCTATCCAGAAAAAGTATCATCTATTCACAAGTTTATCAGTTAATAGTCGTTATATGGCAGTATGTTGTCGAGACATCGAAAAATTGTAATTCAATCAATCAAATCAATGAATAAAGTCGGGCTATGTAAAGCATGGGGATCGTTATTCGTCTCTTACGACAAGCATGGCTTGCTGGAGATCAATTCTACCAGGGATCTTCAATGGGGCTTGTATGTTTTAATATACATTGAAACCTCTTTAATCCGCACACCGTTAATCAGGAAACACACACATGTTTGAGAGCATTACATTTGACCGTCCCTGGTTGCAATGCTTGCCACACAACGCATTCTCATGGACAGTATCAATCTGGAAAACAGCTGATGGTATCCTACGCCACTCACGTTGCAGGCAAAGTGCGAGCTCTCTAACGTTGACAATTTGAGGTTTACGTGCAATACGCTGTCCCAGGTAGTCCCACAAGTGCCAGGGGATAATATAAGGGTAACTGCCCGACGAAGGAGAGTAGGTGAAAAGACCGAGGGCTTCTGCAAATGATAATGCTCTAAAAAAAAAGGTTGCCGTTATTATAGCTGAAATGGATGGAATTTGTTATAAAAAAGAAAAGAAACAACAATATCGGGTTTGATACATTTACTACAAGCAACACGAATATCACTGACCCACTTTTACAAATATGGAAACGTCATAGAACAAACCAGATGACGTCACTATCGAACGTGACGTCATCTATCCCTCTCCTATGGCGTCACCTAACAACAGGCGTGATATTGGCCCGTCGTCAAGCAATATGAGGGCATTATCAAATTACATTAGCCCGCCGATTTCTGATAACATGCGGGCGGTTTATTGATAATTCTATCCAATTTAGCTATAATACAGCCTATGGCCAGGAAGTCCATAGATGCACGTGCTATATGTGCTCCGGCGTCCTGTTGGAAAATATGCAGCTCTTGGCGTTGACGGAAACAGAGGACAACATGACGTTTAAACATGGCGTCCCTGTAGTAAACTGCATTAACACGACTTATGCATATATAGAGCTGCGCTCTGTGCCGAAAACTGATATCGCACCAAACCATCACACTTCCGCCGCCCCGTCGATCATCAGTCTGCACAACACGATCAGCGTGACAACGTTCATCACGGCGACGCCATACCCGTATAAGTCCGTCGGCGTTCCTGAGGTGAAATCTGGATTCGTCAGAGAACAGAACGCCATGCCAGCGTCGAAGTAACCATTGTATGTGCCGTGTAGACGTTCATTTCGGTGCCTTTAGGTCAGAATAGGGTCTACGAAAATATGACGGCACGTTCCCGTTCCCAAAGTGTCAGTCTCGGCATTGCGTCCCCAGTGGTATTCCGCGGCTACAGCGAATATGCGGGTAGCCTTTGAATGCCAAACCTTTATACCCCATTTCTGCACGAAAAGGTAATGATACTTTGCATTTTTCGTACTTTGCACGTGTAAAAACGTGCTTGTTCTCTTTTGCTTTTGGGTGACGACTCACAACGGCTATCACAATTGACAACAGTTTTGGAGCTTCCTAGTCCTAACCATAGGGTATTTTCATTGTTCTTTGCCAACTATCCTGATATTTTCATGGATTCATCTTTGTAAGTGTCAGTATATTTCTGTCGTCTTGTTTCAAATTGCTCGAATAGCTTTGTGAAGAACTGTTCATGGGAAGCAAGCATACAGTGTCTGAACTAAGTACGCATAAGCAACAACGGTTACTCCGGTTTAGAATAAGAGCTCAATGCTTCACGTGAGATTAAACTATGGCTAAGGTGATCACAATGGATACTGAGTATGAATCTGACTTGGATGGAAGGCAAACAGAGAAGAGCAACTCCCAGCTAGGACTTTACAGTCTCTGGTCTGTCTGGTCGAGCCCAAAGTTTTTTATATTGTTGGTACGCCGTTAATCACTGAAACTGTTAATCCTTTAACTTGTAATGTCGTTTCACGCTCTACTCACGTAGTATAATATATTTCTGTTACAAATCCTTTCTGTTGCACACTTAATGAACAATAGTGTTTCTCGTTACGAATATGGATCAAACCTCAATAGAAAAGTAGGGCCCTTTGAGCAACTTTTGTCTATTTCTTGCTTCAGCGTCAGTTCGAGGTGTTTCGGTTCTAGTATGCCATACAAGTACCTGAAATGAGAGACAACATGCAGTTGTAATAACAGAGAGACACGCACGCTCATAAACGTTTTAACTCCCACAAGCCCACCTCCACCCCCTCACGCGAACACCCATCTAAGCCCTCGCCAAACCTCGCGCAATCACCCACCCAGGCCCACATTAACTTCTTCACGCCAACATCCACCCACCTACAGTCCCTCCCGCAAACACCCATCAATAACCACCTCCACCGCTTCACGCGATGACTCAGCTCCAAGCCCTGAAACAAACACCCACTCACGCTCACCTTCATTCACTCAAACGAACAACCACCCACGCCCACCTCCACCCCCACCCCCTCACGCAAACGCCCCACCACGCCCACCTCCACTCCCTCACGCGAACACCCACCTCCTCTCCCTGAAACAAACACCACTCACGCGAACACATACCTCCCCTCCCTGAAACAAACACCCACTCACGCGAACACCCATCTCCCTTCCCTGAAACAAACACCCACTTACGCGAACACCCACCTCCTCTCCCTGAAACAAACACCCACTCACGCGAACACTATCCTCCCCTCCCTGAAACAAACACCACTCACGCGAACACTCCCCTCCCTGAAACAAACACCCACTCACGCGAACACCCACCTCCCTTCCCTGAAACAAATACCGCTCACGCGAACACCCACCTCGTCTCCCTGAAACAATTACCCACTCACGCTCACCTTCATTCCTTGACGCGAACACCCACCTCCTCTCCCTGAAACAAACACCACTCACGCTCACCTTCATTCTCTCACGCGAACACCCACCCCCCTTCCCTGAAACAAACACCCACTTACGCGAACACCCACCTCCTCTCCCTGAAACAAACACCCACTCACGCGAACACCCACCTCCCCTCCCTGAAACAAACACCCACTCACGCTCACCTTCATCCACTCACGCGAACACCCACCTCCTCTCCCTGAAACAAACACCCACTTACGCTCATCTTCATTCACGCAAGCACCCATCCACGCCTACAAAGATCAACTTATAAAATCCGTTTTTCAAGGAGCTTGGTATAGAAATACGGAAAGTTCATACAGTAGGTTAAGTATCCATGCCTCATTTGAGGGGATCGCTAAACCACGTGGGATACGAACACGATGCACATTTCACGATAATGCAAAAGCCCAAACCAAGGATAACTCTCCTCTAAATCGTATACTCCAACCACTATACGTACAGGGCAACACAAAGACAAACAACCTGCTGAAACCACGGACGTGACACACAAGGTGTGGAACATCAGGTCACTGGTTGAAGTTTATAGGTTTACACTGTTACGACGTTTCGGTACAGACATTAGATACTAGTACCACAATCAACTATGGCACTATGTGAGGTGAGGTGAATCAACTATGGCACTATGTGAGGTGAGGTGATATGGGGTTTAACGTCGCGTCCAAGATTATTGCACGTATATAGCGACGTGCACGCACGTGTATGTGTGTGTAGCTGCTTGTACTAGTCCAGACTGATGCCGATTTATAGTGCTAGCTCACTGAGATACCATGCCGCAGTTTAACATGGATACCCCACTCAGACACAGTATACTGACTCCGAGCCGACCAGTCCTTGTTTAAGCCCCTTAATGCCGAGCGCCAGACAGGGTAACAACAAGTACCATCTTTTAACGTCTTCTGGTATGACGCGGCCGGGGATCGAACCTTCCACTTTCCGTGCGAACGCTCTACCACTAGATCATCGAAGCGGTACGTCACTATGTAATATATATGCACATAAACGTTGAAACAGTGTACAGGTTCTACTACACCAAATCAGAACCAGTTTGGACAGTGCGGTTTTCATAGGGAGCCTTCAGTGCAGATCGAGAGATATTTGCAGGCTGTGATTGGAGGATATTCTGTAAGATTTTTATGTCTTTCAAATGTACATCCATCCAGTTATTAAAACTGACCATGTTTTTCTATATTTAGTACTGTCTTTTTCAACATGATGACTTATGCTGAATGTGACCACAGCTATTTTCAAGTAGGTGACATTTGGTGCGAAACTGGGGTTGGTGTGTTTAGCTTCCTGTACTCGGAAAAGGAGCTGGCTAAGCTAGTCATTTTTTAGTTTTTTATTGCTGCTCTAAGGCCAAACTGTGCACACACGTACAGGTAATAGCTGTTGAATGCTTAGTTATTTAATTTTTTTTATAACGTTACTATAGAAGTCTATGGGAAAACATTTGGTTGTGTGTAACCTACAGGCAGATGTTTGCGTCCATACACTTGTTTGTTATTGTGTTACCTAACCTTTATTTCAATCAAATACCATACTAACTATAGCCGATACATTTAAAAACATGAAATATACAACATGTACGTCAAAGTCCATGTTGTGGACGGTTAACGGTTTACTCAAGGTTGGATGTTCATATTATCTGTAGCTCGACAGTTGAGTTCCACGTGGACATTTGCCGACGAGACCACAGCCTGCTACAGGTACACTACATAGTAGCGCCAGCGCAGCATACCCAGGGAACCAGGCTGACGAGACCATACTAGGCTCCACACTCACCTTCGTACAATTGTCAGCAAGAGGTTCAAGGTCGTTCAGTGATATATGAAGTCGCTGCAATATATTGGATTCCTGAAACCCTGATCTGACTTTATAGTTGGAAAACTGTGCCTCTGGATATTGAAAAAAAAGTTTAATGTTGATGGCAAATCCGGCCATGTCAATGGCAAAAGGGCGATGCAGTTCTAGTCCCGTCAGCCAGCCAGTCACCTGTGAAAGTATATCGATAATATATATATAAACATGTCGCGTCCGCACGAGTGTTGAGAAGGAGGGTCATAGCCGTGATTCAGCCACAAGGTTGAAGAACATACTTGGAGTTCTCATGTCACTATTTGTTACAACAGCTGCTTACATCTGCCCGGACGTTTAGTTTTACTCAGTCCGATACTTAATTTACTCTGGGTAGGAATGTAGGTCCCTGTCAACCTATGCTTGTCGTAACATGCGACTAAATGAATCAGGTGATGAGGCTCGGTGACTTTACACCCATGAGCTTGAGTTCCATGTTAAGTTCGGTGCCATATACATACAGTAAACTACGGTTATAACGAACACGCTTATAACGAACTGACGGATATAACGAACTTACTTTTTAGTCCCGACTTCTTGCTGTAGTCATGCTGTATATGTACTTATAACGAACTACGGTTATAACGAACTCAAATTAGTAGTCCCTTTGAGTTCGTTATAACCGTAGTTTACTGTAGTAGGGTATTAGGTCAAGTCCACAAGCATATACGCAATGCCTAGGTTAGAAAAAAAAGGAATGTGAAATCAAGGTAGTAAAGGTAGAAACAAAGTAGTAAAAGTGCCGAGAAGGTTGAGTAAGTATGGTTTTACGCCGCTTTTAGCAATATTCCAGCAATATCACGGCGGGGGTCACCAGAAATGGGCTTCACACATTGTACCCATGTCGGGAATCGATTCCGGGTCTTCGGCGTGACGAGCGAACGCTTTAACCACTAGACTACCCGACCGCCCCCCAAGAAGGTAGAAAAAGTTATAACGGTAGAAACACTTTAGTGAAGGGGATCTTATGTCATTAGGTGTAAGCTTACATTAGACTGGACGTTCCTTTTTCCTCATCATAATCCTGTAGGTATTCTGGGTAGATATATAGGTCTCCATCAACCTACGGTTATGGCGAGAGGCGACTAAATGGATCAGGTAATCAGGCACGGGGACTTATAGGCTTCCACAACACATCACATGTTAAACTGAGATCTAGTTTCGTGGCCTACATGTGGTCGGGAATTATGTCAAGTGCACATGCATTAACATCACGACTTAGTAAGAAAAGCTTAGATAAACCATAAAATAATGTATAATCCAGGTGTTTGAGGGAGACCATAGTGTTGGTAGGATCAGAAGTCGTAAAGGCCGAACAAGGTAGAAAAACACGATAATATTGTGGAATCAACGTAGTAAAGGTAGGTAGAAAAGGTAGAAATGTGTAGGACAAGAAGAATGAATAAAGGAAACACAGAATCACTGTAGTAAAGGCAGAAACAATGCAGTAAAGGTAGAACAATGCAGTAAGGGTAGAAACAATGTAGTAAAGACAGAAACAATATAGTAAAGGTAGAAACAATGTAAAGGTAGAAACAATGTAGCAAAGGTAGAAACAATGTAGTAAAGGTAGAAACAATGTAGCAAAGGTAGAACAATGAAGTAAGGGTTGAAACAATGTAGTAAAGGTAGAAACATGTAGTAAAGGTAGAAACAATGTAGCAAAGGTAGAACAATGTAGTAAGGGTGGAAACAATGTAGTAAAAGTAGAAACATGTAGTAAAAGTAGAAACAATGTAGCAAAGGTAGAAAAAATGTAAGGATGGAAACAATGTAGTAAGGGTGGAAACAATGTAGTAAAGGTAGAAACATGTAATAAAGGTAGAAACAATGTAGGAAAGGTAGAAACATGTAGTAAAGGTAGAAACAATGTAGCAAAAGAAGAAACAATGTAGTAAAGGTAGAAACAATGTAGCAAAGAAGAACAATGTAGTAAAGGTAGAAACAATGTAGTAAAGGTAGAAACATGTAGCAAAAGTAGAAACAATGTAGTAAAGGTAGAAACAATGTAGTAAAGGTAGAAACAATGTAGTAAAGGTAGAACAATGTAACAAAGGTAGAACAATGTAGTAAGGGTGGAAACAATATAGTAAAGGTAGAAACAATGTAGTAAGGGTGGAAACAATATAGTAAAGGTGTAAACAATGTAGTAAAGGTGGATACAAGGAAGTAAAGGCAGAAACAAGGTTGTGAATTCGGAAACAAGGAAGTAAACGTGGAAACAAAGTTGTAAAGGTTGAGACAAGGACGTAAAGGCGGAACCAGGAAGAAACAATGTAGTAAAGGTAAAAAGAAGGAAGGAAAAGCAGAAAGAAGGAAGTAAAGGCAGAAAGAAGGAAGGAAAAGCAGAAAGAAGGAAGTAAAGGCAGTAAAGGCAGAAAGAAGGAAGTAAAGGCAGAAAGAAGGAAGGAAAAGCAGAAAGAAGGAAGTAAAGGCAGAAAGAAGGAAGTAAAGGTGGAAAGAATATAGTAAAGGCAGAAACAGGGAAGTAAAGGCAAAAACAATGTAGTAAAGGCAGAAACAATGTAGTAAAGGCGGAAACAAGGAATTAAAGGTGGAAACAAGGAAGTGAAGCAAGAATCAAGGCAGTATATCAAGCAACATCAGGACGTCATTGTGGCAATGGCGTGATGAGTAAGTGACGTACGACATTTCGGCACAATCTGAAAACAAACCCTAACTATATATGTATATGGAGTTGCTGTTACCTTTCCATGTGTCACGACTGGGCCTCCATATTTCAAATGTCCTGTAAATCCCACAGGCCACACTGCAACCTTTTGTGTCACCCGCATCTGCAATAAAGTAGCAGTGTCTTAGTCTTCAGGTCTCTACGCCCAACGTACATATTTAGATCTTAGCTTAAAGATTCAGTGTGCCAAAATTCTCCACAAGACAGTGTGACCAGAGGGATTGTCATACCGCCATGTCAGAAAATAGATGGTATCTGATTAGTTCACGAGATCTTTATAAAATACTTGGTCTCCCGTCCTTGAGGGGAAAGAAATGCCCATCTTGCCTTTTGTTCTCTACATTACACAACTCTTGAGGAGCTACAATCGACCATGCTCTTTCTATTTCTTTCTACTTTATATATATATATATATATATATATATATATATATATATATATATATATATATATATATATATATATTATTGATATACTTTCACAGGTGACTGGGTGACTGGCGGGACAAGAAATGCATCGCCCCTTTGCCATTGACATGGCCGGATTTGCCATCAACATTAAACTTTTTTTTCAATATCCAGAGGCACAGTTTTCCAACTATAAAGTCCGCACGAGTGCTGAGAAGGAGGGTCATTGCCGTGGTTCAGCCACAAAAGTGACAAAACCCTTTCAGAGTTGATAGTCAAGCAAGACGTTGTCAAGCAAGCCTTGCTTGACAACGGTATAAGGATCTATACCGAAACATCGCTTTTTACAGTATTAATGATGTTGTTGTCCATAAAATTGGGTCTACCTTGTAAACCCACCTACCCTGATTTTCGAAAGACAGGCGTAGAACTGTGGGCATATATATTTTCAAAAGGTTGTCTGTAAATACTAGTATATGGGGGCCGGTAGGGCTACAACTATATAATTCTTTTTTTAAATTGTTGTTGTAAATCAAATGTTAATTCATTTATACCCTGCGTCTTGAGATTTGTATTTAACTAGACGTACAGATGTGGAACTCACCTCATCAAACACCTGTAAATCATACGTATTATCATCATCAGCAAAATATACAACTCCAGATTGGGTCTCGGGATCCACATTATCCCGTATCCATGACAACCCGGCATTTCTTTGCGATACCCCTCTAGGTTTTGAATAACGGGCATCTGTGGGTTTCAACTTTACATTCGGTGGTGTTTGAGCATGCAAATGTGTATACGATAGACCGCTTGATCGTAACAAGTTGATCACCAGGCTAGTCTTGTTTTCGGAATCTTCTACAAGTATCCAATGAAAATGTGACAGGTGAAGAAATGTTTGTGACAACCTTGTTAGTTCAGCCTTCTGTTCCAAACGCGCATATGTTGGTGTGATGGCATATATTACTGGTATAGTTGGACCGAATTTCCGATGGCGTTTTTCTCCATCATCAAGAACAAAATGCCAATATTGGGATTTCTTGGTCTCGGGTTTTATTTCGTTTTTAGTTCGTGCTGATTGCAGCTTGTGTCTGAGATTGATCTTTTCCAAGTTTCTTCTTGTCTTCACTTCAAAAATCCCATTAGATTGGCGTCCGAATTTGGTAACTGTGTTTGCAGTTCTGTTGCATGTATCTGCAAATAACACAGAGGAAAGAGGACATATAGTTAACATGGCTTTTGATAATTATTTCGACAAATGACAATGTTTGACAAGACGGAACAAATAAGGATTTAAGATGGATGAAAACTAATCATTTACTATAACACGTTTTTCTACACTACACAAACCCCACTAGTTACCAGATCCGTCGACAAGGTGGCTCTTTGCTTATTATATTTCATGCGTATTTTAAAACATAACACGGTTCTGGTATTTCAATGGTATTTAGAAGCGATACACATAAGTAGAGAATTTATGGTGTTCCTCATAGTAAAGAAGTTGAAATCAATACATTCGCTCTCATAAAACTATATATAAGGGGGATTCTTTGACAACAGTGTTTATAACGCACATTCTGAAGAGCATCTGCCCGGAGACCGACTCCGTGGTGCAGTGGATAGAGCGTCTTCCCGGAGACCGACTCCATGGTGCAGTGGAGAGCGTCTTCCCGGAGACCGACTCCGTGGTGCAGTGGATAGAATGTCTTCCCGGAGGCCGACTCCGTGGTGCAGTGGATAGAGCGTCTTCCCGGAGGCCGACTCCGTGGTGCAGTGGATAGAGCGTCTTCCCGGAGGCCGACTCCGTGGTGCAGTGGATAGAGCGTCTTCCCTGAGACCGACTCCGTGGTGCAGTGGATAGAGCGTCTTCCCGGAGGCCGACTCCGTGGTGCAGTGGATAGAGCGTCTTCCCGGAGACCGACTCCATGGTGCAGTGGAGAGCGTCTTCCCGGAGACCGACTCCATGGTGCAGTGGATAGAATGTCTTCCCGGAGGCCGACTCCGTGGTGCAGTGGATAGAGCGTCTTCCCGGAGGCCGACTCTGTGGTGCAGTGGATAGAGCGTCTTCCCTGAGGCCGACTCCGTGGTGCAGTGGATAGAGCGTCTTCCCGGAGGCCGACTCCGTGGTGCAGTGGATAGAATGTCTTCCCGGAGGCCGACTCCGTGGTGCAGTGGATAGAGCGTCTTCCCGGAGACCGACTCCATGGTGCAGTGGAGAGCGTCTTCCCGGAGACCGACTCCATGGTGCAGTGGATAGAATGTCTTCCCGGAGGCCGACTCTGTGGTGCAGTGGATAGAGCGTCTTCCCGGAGGCCGACTCCGTGGTGCAGTGGATAGAGCGTCTTCCCTGAGACCGACTCCATGGTGCAGTGGAGAGCGTCTTCCCGGAGACCGACTCCATGGTGCAGTGGATAGAATGTCTTCCCGGAGGCCGACTCCGTGGTGCAGTGGATAGAGCGTCTTCCCGGAGACCGACTCCGTGGTGCAGTGGATAGAATGTCTGCCCGGAGGCCGACTCCGTGGTGCAGTGGATAGAGCGTCTTCCCGGAGGCCGACTCCGTGGTGCAGTGGATAGAGCGTCTTCCCGGAGGCCGACTCCATGGTGCAGTGGATAGAGCGTCTTCCCGGAGGCCGACTCCGTGGTGCAAAGGATAGAGCGTCTCCGTGGTGCAGTGGATAGAGCGTCTGCCCTGAGACCGACTCCATGGTGCAGTGGATAGAGCGTCTTCCCGGAGGCCGACTCCGTGGTGCAGTGGATAGAGCATCTTCCCGGAGACCGACTCCGTGGTGCAGTGGATAGAGCGTCTTCCCGGAGACCGACTCCGTGGTGCAGTGGATAGAGCGTCTTCCCGGAGGCCGACTCCGTGGTGCAGTGGATAGAGCGTCTTCCCGGAGACCGACTCCGTGGTGCAGTGGATAGAGCGTCTTCCCGGAGACCGACTCCGTGGCGCAGTGGATAGAGCGTCTGCCCTGAGACCGACTCCGTGGTGCAGTGGATAAAGCGTCTTCCCGGAGACCGACTCCGTGGTGCAGTGGATAGAGCGTCTGCCCTGAGACCGACTCAATGGTGCAGTGGATAGAGCGTCTTCCCGGAGACCGACTCCGTGGTGCAGTGGATAGAGCGTCTGCCCTGAGACCGACTCCGTGGTCTAGTGGATAGAGCGTCTGCCCGGAGACCGACTCCGTGGTCTAGTGGATAGAGCGTCTTCCCTGAGACCGACTCCGTGGTGCAGTGGATAGAGCGTCTTCCCGGATACCGACTCCGTGGTGCAGTGGATAGAGCGTCTACCCTGAGACCGACTCCGTGGTGCAGTGGATAGAGCGTCTTCCCTGAGACCGACTCCGTGGTGCAGTGGATAGAGCGTCTTCCCGGAGACCGACTCCGTGGTCTAGTGGATAGAGCGTCTGCCCGGAGACCGACTCCGTGGTCTAGTGGATGTAGCGTCTTCCCTGAGACCGACTCCGTGGTGCAGTGGATAGAGCGTCTTCCCTGAGACCGACTCCGTGGTGCAGTGGATAGAGCGTCTTCCCGGAGGCCGACTCCGTGGTGCAGTGGATAGAGCGTCTTCCCGGAGACCGACTCCATGGTGCAGTGGATAGAGCGTCTTCCCGGAGGCCGACTCCGTGGTGCAGTGGAGAGAGCGTCTTCCCGGAGACCGACTCCGTAGTGCAGTGGATAGAGCATCTTCCCGGAGGCCGACTCCGTGGTGCAGTGGATAGAGCGTCTTCCCGGAGACCGACTCCGTGGTGCAGTGGATAGAGCGTCTTCCCGGAGGCCGACTCCGTGGTGCAGTGGATAGAGCGTCTTCCCGGAGACCGACTCCGTGGTGCAGTGGATAGAGCGTCTTCCCGGAGACCGACTCCGTGGTGCAGTGGATAGAGCGTCTGCCCTGAGACCGACTCCGTGGTGCAGTGGATAAAGCGTCTTCCCGGAGACCGACTCCGTGGTCTAGTGGATAGAGCGTCTTCCCGGAGGCCGACTCAATGGTGCAGTGGATAGAGCGTCTTCCCAGAGACCGACTCCGTGGTGCAGTGGATAGAGCGTCTGCCCTGAGACCGACTCCGTGGTCTAGTGGATAGAGCGTCTTCCCGGAGACCGACTCCGTGGTGCAGTGGATAGAGCGTCTTCCCGGATACCGACTCCGTGGTGCAGTGGATAGAGCGTCTACCCGGAGACCGACTCCGTGGTCTAGTGGATAGAGCGTCTGCCCGGAGACCGACTCCGTGGTCTAGTGGATAGAGCGTCTTCCCGGAGGCCAACTCAATGGTGCAGTGGATAGAGCGTCTTCCCGGAGGCCGACTCCGTGGTGCAGTGGATAGAGCGTCTGCCCTGAGACCGACTCCGTGGTCTAGTGGATAGAGCGTCTGCCCGGAGACCGACTCCGTGGTCTAGTGGATAGAGCGTCTTCCCGGAGACCGACTCCGTGGTGCAGTGGATAGAGCGTCTTCCCGGATACCGACTCCGTGGTGCAGTGGAGAGAGCGTCTACCCTGAGACCGACTCCGTGGTCTAGTGGATAGAGCGTCTTCCCTGAGACCGACTCCGTGGTGCAGTGGATAGAGCGTCTTCCCGGAGGCCGACTCCGTGGTGCAGTGGATAGAGCGTCTTCCCGGAGGCCGACTCCGTGGTGCAGTGGATAGAGCGTCTGCCCTGAGACCGACTCCGTGGTCTAGTGGATAGAGCGTCTGCCCGGAGACCGACTCCGTGGTCTAGTGGATAGAGCGTCTTCCCGGAGACCGACTCCGTGGTGCAGTGGATAGAGCGTCTTCCCGGATACCGACTCCGTGGTGCAGTGGATAGAGCGTCTACCCTGAGACCGACTCCGTGGTCTAGTGGATAGAGCGTCTTCCCGGAGACCGACTCCGTGGTGCAGTGGATAGAGCGTCTTCCCGGAGACCGACTCCGTGGTCTAGTGGATAGAGCGTCTGCCCGGAGACCGACTCCGTGGTCTAGTGGATAGAGCGTCTTCCCTGAGACCGACTCCGTGGTGCAGTGGATAGAGTGTCTTCCCTGAGACCGACTCCGTGGTGCAGTGGATAGAGCGTCTTCCCGGAGGCCGACTCCGTGGTGCAGTGGCTAGAGCGTCTTCCCGGAGACCGACTCCATGGTGCAGTGGATAGAGCGTCTTTCCGGAGGCCGACTCCGTGGTGCAGTGGAGAGAGCGTCTTCCCGGAGACCGACTCCGTAGTGCAGTGGATAGAGCATCTTCCCGGAGGCCGACTCCGTGGTGCAGTGGATAGAGCGTCTTCCCGGAGACCGACTCCGTGGTGCAGTGGATAGAGCGTCTTCCCGGAGGCCGACTCCGTGGTGCAGTGGATAGAGCGTCTTCCCGGAGACCGACTCCGTGGTGCAGTGGATAGAGCGTCTTCCCGGAGACCGACTCCGTGGTGCAGTGGATAGAGCGTCTGCCCTGAGACCGACTCCGTGGTGCAGTGGATAAAGCGTCTTCCCGGAGACCGACTCCGTGGTCTAGTGGATAGAGCGTCTTCCCGGAGGCCGACTCAATGGTGCAGTGGATAGAGCGTCTTCCCAGAGACCGACTCCGTGGTGCAGTGGATAGAGCGTCTGCCCTGAGACCGACTCCGTGGTCTAGTGGATAGAGCGTCTTCCCGGAGACCGACTCCGTGGTGCAGTGGATAGAGCGTCTTCCCGGATACCGACTCCGTGGTGCAGTGGATAGAGCGTCTACCCTGAGACCGACTCTGTGGTCTAGTGGATAGAGCGTCTGCCCGGAGACCGACTCCGTGGTCTAGTGGATAGAGCGTCTTCCCTGAGACCGACTCCGTGGTGCAGTGGATAGAGCGTCTTCCCGGAGACCGACTCCGTGGTCTAGTGGATAGAGCGTCTGCCCGGAGACCGACTCCGTGGTCTAGTGGATAGAGCGTCTTCCCTGAGACCGACTCCGTGGTGCAGTGGATAGAGCGTCTTCCCGGAGGCCGACTCCGTGGTGCAGTGGATAGAGCGTCTTCCCGGAGGCCGACTCCGTGGTGCAGTGGATAGAGCGTCTTCCCTGAGACAGACTCCGTGGTGCAGTGGATAGAGCGTCTTCCCGGAGGCCGACTCCGTGGTGCAGTGGATAGAGCGTCTGCCCTGAGACCGACTCCGTGGTGCAGTGGATAGAGCGTCTGCCCGGAGACCGACTCCGTGGTCTAGTGGATAGAGCGTCTTCCCGGAGACCGACTCCGTGGTGCAGTGGATAGAGCGTCTTCCCGGATACCGACTCCGTGGTGCAGTGGATGGAGCGTCTACCCTGAGACCGACTCCGTGGTCTAGTGGATAGAGCGTCTGCCCGGAGACCGACTCCGTGGTCTAGTGGATAGAGCGTCTTCCCTGAGACCGACTCCGTGGTGCAGTGGATAGAGCGTCTTCCCGGAGACCGACTCCGTGGTCTAGTGGATAGAGCGTCTGCCCAGAGACCGACTCCGTGGTCTAGTGGATAGAGCGTCTTCCCTGAGACCGACTCCGTGGTGCAGTGGATAGAGCGTCTTCCCGGAGGCCGACTCCGTGGTGCAGTGGATAGAGCGTCTTCCCGGAGGCCGACTCCGTGGTGCAGTGGATAGAGCGTCTTCCCTGAGACCGACTCCGTGGTGCAGTGGATAGAGCGTCTGCCCGGAGACCGACTCCGTAGTGCAGTGGATAGAGCGTCTTCCCGGAGGCCGACTCCGTGGTGCAGTGGATCGAGCGTCTTCCCGGAGACCGACTCCGTGGTGCAGTGGATGGTCGTCTTCCCGGAGACCGACTCCGTGGTGCAGTGGATAGAGCGTCTTCCCGGAGGCCGACTCCGTGGTGCAGTGGATAGAGCGTCTGCCCTGAAACCGACTCCGTGGTGCAAAGGATAGAGCGTCTTCCCGGAGACCGATTCCGTGGTGCAAAGGATAGAGCGCCTCCATGGTGCATTGTCCGAAAGCCGACTCCTTGGTCTAGTGGATAGAGCGTCTGCCCGGAGACCGACTCCGTGGTGCAGTGGATAGAGCGTCTGCCCGGAGACCGACTCCGTGGTGCATTGTCCGAAAGACGACTCCGTGGTGCAGTGGATAGAGCGTCTACCCGGAGACCGACTCCGTGGTGCATTGTCCGAAAGACGACTCCGTGGTGTAGTGGATAGAGCGTCTACCCGGAGACCGACTCCGTGGTGCATTGTCCGAAAGACGACTCCGTGGTGCAGTGGATAGAGCGTCTACCCGGAGACCGACTCCGTGGTGCATTGTCCGAAAGACGACTCCGTGGTGTAGTGGATAGAGCGTCTACCCGGAGACCGACTCCGTGGTGCAGTGGATAGAGCGTCTACCCGGAGGCCGACTCCGGGGTGCAGTGGAGAGAGCGTCTACCCGGAGACCGACTCCGGGGTGCAGTGGATAGAGCGTCTACCCGGAGACCGACTCCGGGGTGCAGTGGAGAGAGCGTCTACCCGGAGACCGACTCCGTGGTGTAGTGGAGAGAGCGTCTACCCGGAGACCGACTCCGTGGTGCAGTGGATAGAGCGTCTACCCGGAGACCGACTCCGTGGTGTAGTGGATAGAGCGTCTCCCCGGAGACCGACTCCGTGGTGCAGTGGAGAGAGCGTCTACCCGGAGACCGACTCCGTGGTGCAGTGGAGAGAGCGTCTACCCGGAGACCGACTCCGTGGTGCAGTGGAGAGAGCGTCTTCCCGGAGACCGACTCCGTGGTGCAGTGGAGAGAGCGTCTACCCGGAGACCGACTCCGTGGTGCAGTGGAGAGAGCGTCTACCCGGAGACCGACTCCGTGGTGCAGTGGAGACAGCGTTATCCTGAAGAGCGAAAGGTCGACGATACAATCCCCGGCCACATCATACCAAGTGAAGTCAAAAGTGGGATGTAAAAGTCAAAAGTGCAATAACCCTGAACGCGACGTTAAACCCCTCATCTAAATCTTCATGGTCCTTTGAGCGGAATGTGAAATTATAAGACACATTCAAATATGCCAAGTTCATCATTCATTTCTCCTATGTATATAAATGACATTAATAAAAGCGATAATGCCCTTTCCATAGCATAAGAATAACAATCCAAGTATATTTGGACTTAGTATAGTTCTAGTTCAGGTGGGTAAATCGGTGGAAGGGAATTGCCTCTTTGACTATTACTGAACGCTATCATCGATATACCTGAAGCTCGAGTTAAACCTCTCAGCTAAATTCGAATGTTTTGTCAGTTATTCAAAAGGCATTTGCGGATATATATTATCAAAAACAAATTTCCGAAACGCTTTCTTGGAAGCAATACCCTATTGACGAGAGAGTGTAATTGCCCTTTCGATTCATGAAGGGTGTTGTGTAAGGGGTGGAAAAAAAGTTTAAATTTAATTTTTATCTGAGTGGAATCTCCTCACATGATCTTAGTTTGACTTAAATGTGTGAATCTTTATTGGAATGGCGGTCTAATATCGACTACCGCTCACTGAGCCACAGAGAGCGCGATGGATTTTATGGTGTTTAACCGTATGTACAGACAGAACCTTCAATTTAATATTCATGATAATCAATATGTCTGCTTTATAGAGCAGAATGTAATAGGGTCACAAACAAATCGAACGTTAAGGGATCACTGAATCTATGTAATTTCAAACCAAACAGAAAGCGTTCAGAGAAATCTACCACGGATGGCTGCTTCTGTTATTGACCAGATGTGTGTCAATTTGAAAGTCCCAAAGATCCTTTGGAAGATAATTCCTGAAGACAAGTATAAATATAAATTATTTATCTCAGTCTATACCGGCGGTTCGTTAATGGGTCGGTCAGAATGCATGCCTTTATGCTCCAGTTTTACGGTTTTTAGTTACGTGACGACTTCGTAATTTATTTGAACATTTTGTCCAAAAACCTGATACATGATAGCAGTGTGTGTTAATTGGAACATATATACTCCTTAAGAAAGTAGGGGAAAGGAAATAGATATAGATATAAAGATCGCCAGTGAAAGATCAGCTTTTAAAACTGACTGCCAAAATAGAATGGTTTCGAAACCAATACGTAACGCCCCGAAACACCCGAAACATGGCACCTGGACCACGCATTTCCTCCGTGCACGTGGTTAGGGGTCATTCTTGATTTTGACACTTTACTAAAAGGTCGTTAACTCGCTCTGAGCCATTAATATTGTTGTCTTTTATTATCCACAGGAAAACCTCAACTCTCTACTCGTGCTTTTATGCAGTATTTGTGACCAGATTGGGAATGCGTCATCAACAACTTGATGAACCCCTAAGGGATATTGGTATGCTTCAAACCGGTAGCGCTCAGCTAAAGATAGCCAATATATTCAATATGTCTCAGTCTGGCGTTTGCATACTTTTCTTCATCTATTTTCAATATCTTATTTTAAATGAATAATTTGCAAATGAATAAACAATTGCGAAAGAATGAGTTGGCTCGTCAAACATACTCTTGTACAAAAGCATATATTAGTATCAGAGAAGTTCAATACTTTTACAACAGGAACAAGCGAACGTTGTTGTAACACCTACATTTAGTTTACCATAAGACGCGTGTAGAATAAGAATTGTCGTTCTTGTTTAAAGTAGTTCTCGTGTTCATAAGCCAATATGGAAACATTCGAGAGGGGCAGGAGTCTACATTCGGCTTGTACCGGAATGGGACGAGTTGGTCACGAATGGTAGTGAAATGCGTTTAAGCCACTTTGCCCAGCATTTCATGCATATAACTGTGTGTCGGTTTACCGACAGTGAGCCTTGCATGAAACTGGGTTCAACTCTTCAAAGAGAACCGCGGTGCATTGAACCTCAGATTGAAAGCTAGAACAAAATGCACACTTACCAGATTTAAAGAGTATCCACGTCAATACAAATAAGAGAAAAAAGACGTATACAAGTCTCCTAGGCCTCTGAAACATAGTCAACAAACCGGGCATAGACCTCTACAGTAACAGTGAGTCGATTAGTCCGAAGTGCGGGTTCGCTGGCTCTGCGTTAGGACGCCGATGGTCCGCATCTTTAATGTGATAACCGGTCATGCATGGTGAAGCAGTAGTAGGTATGGTGGATACAAACATGACCTGAAAAAGGTGACATATTCTCTCGTGATTGCGCCACCGACGAAACAATAATTTTCCCGCTCACTCAACAACAGATAAATGTATGTCAAAATAAGCGAGATAATACAGTTTATCACAAAGCACGTGTACTAAGGACTGCGTTCTTCATGTTTGCTGACGTTATGCAAATACCGATGTTGACATATTATATCCAGCAACGTTGACGTCATGTTTAATGACGTCACGCCGAAGACCGGATTTTGAATCCCCACATTGACAAACTATGTGAAGCACGGGACATGTATGGACGATTTCTAAAATCAATATACAACCCTACTAACACACCAAACACCTTCCTGTAATAACAAGCGGGTGGTAAAGTGATCAAAGGGTTTGTCGGCTTCGTACAATTTTTGTCTTTGACAATTTCCAGGTTTCACGGGTAAAGCATTTACAGAATACAAACTACAACCACTAGGAATTCAAGATATTAAGAATATCGGCCCTCATGAACCTAATTTTTTCGTGCAAGGCGGCTAAATGGATCGGATGGTCAAGCTCGGTTGATTGCATGCCCTCGTATCCCAATTGTGGATCAATGCTCATTTTGTAAATCATTGGTTTGAGTGGCCCAGATTCGATTATTTACAGACCGCTGTCTTCTGACTGGAATATGCCGAGTAAGGTCATAAACAACAAATAAACAAACCACCGACGGGACAGGATACACTCACCTACTCACGTATGATTACTCTCTGATAGTCGTTTACAAATAAATGCGACAACCCTTTCCATGTTCATCCGAAATCTCTGCCAAGAGCAGTTTCGATTGTACGATTCCGACAAAAGCATGTGTTTATGGATCACTATCAAATAGTGATGACACCGGGTGCTCGCGAAAAGTTGAAAGCACACTGTCCCCCGGGTGGCACCCGTCACAAACTCATGCGAAGGCAAGTCAATTGTTCACCTGAAAAAACCACACGGGAACATATGGCACAAGTCAAAATAGGGAATTGCTTTGGGAATAATTTTGTTACTGCTGCGTCAAATTTTGAAATGTCCTCCACATGTCTACACCTTTTTGAAAGCTTTACTGAGGCCTTGAATGTTGTAACCTTGATCAAACGACTTCTGAGCAAAAAGCAAAAACTCTCTTTGAAATCATGGTGGAAGGACCATGCTCGATTGTCCCTCAATAGTTGTGAAATGTAGACATTAAGGGCTGGAGCTGCAGGAATATTGCTTGACATAAAGCGAAAGTTAACTATTGACAAAACACAGACTTCTGATAAATTCGCAATCAAACAATGGACTCTTCTTTTATTAACGATTTTTTTTATGATTATGGAATAATAATTGTCGCTTTATTATTATTTTTTTTAAGACATTTCATATTTTTCCTTCTTATATTGTCAGGGCGATGAGGAAGCCTAGTGGTTAACGTGTTCGCTCGTCACGTCGACTACCCGGGTTCGATACACCACAAGGGTACAATGTGTGAAGCCCATTTTTGGTGTTCACTAGAGTTGCATTGATGGACTATTGCTAAAAGTGGCGTAAACCCATATTCACTCACTTATTGTCAACCACAGTATATAATTTGGCATCCTTTACATAGACCAAGATATACAATCTCACCCCAGTGTGTTCTTTGGATACGGACTTCAATACCTGTGCTGTTACGTGGCAAGATGTCAGATGCGAAAGCAATTACGTCGTTCGGCTTCAGGAAGCGTCAACCATCCATGACCGGTTTCCCTGGCAATGACACAGTCTGCACAGTACACTATTCCCGACAGCACTGGAGTCACACAGTATGGTTCTATTCTCAGACAGTCGGGCGATGAACTTTGCCGCATATGGATAAAATCAATATTCTTCCGGGCACGGGACACCGCAAGTACATATGTAACAGCTGGGTTGTGTAACTAGGGATTTCGTGAAAAGCCCTGACTATTCTTCTGAACATTCTTCTGAAATTGATGAAACTTGGTTCCAAAAGCCCAGTCTTGGGAATTATTGTCAAACAACCACACGGCCAGCATGTTAAACAACAAACAAACAAACAAACAGTGTGAACGTTTATCGTATATTCTCGTTTCCTTTCTGAGATCTAATACATTGATCTGATCCCGTTACAATGGTAATATGCTCCCCCGTAGTTATTGATGACGTTATCGGAACACAAAGGGATTTGATCCTTTTGGCATGCTTATGTGATGCTAGCTCTTCAAGCGGTTCTCTATTTCGCAGCTCACAGTGTATTTGAAACACTAAGATATGGGTCTTTGTACTTTGGATTTAATTCATGTGACTTTTTTCTTCACAGTAACTGGATTTGTTATCCGGACGAGGACGACTCCATCAGTGGACTCATTAGCCTTCAAGTTGTTTCTGGGGGCACGGGTGGCCCAGTCGTCTCAGGTGCCGCGATTCGCTGTGCAGAGTTGCGTCCCTTGGGCACCCCAGAAACCTATGCTTGTGGGTTCGAAAATCGGTTCGCCCCGATTATGTTTCTAGGTTTGTCAGCACCATACCCGTGCTCGTGGGTTTCACCGAAGTGGTAAACATCTGAGACCTGCATCACTTAGGGCTTTCCTCCCACATTAAGCTGACACGCCGTGATATAACTTGAATACTGTCAAAAGCGGCGTTAAACCCAACTCACACACTCACTCACTCACTCATTTGAAAGTCATTGGCTGGAACTGGGAGAGTATTCTTGACATCAGCTGTAACACAACCCAACACCAGATCTGACCGCAAATCAAGAAAATGGAGAGATGCTCCTGTATGATGGCCCTTGTTGATATGGCCATCTTGTTCTTTATCAACTATTCATGTTGAATACAAATTCGCAATACTTATTCACTACGTTTACCCGAAACAAATTTACATTCGGCAAATTGAAGTGGACTTTATGCTTCGTATAGTGAGGGGAGCGATAAGACACTTCGGTTTGGTACGTTATGTAACTTACATGCCTTCGAAAATGAAATTCATTTTGTATTTACGTTCCCCGCATATTTAAAAAAATCGTTCAAAATATTTCCTATTTTTCAATGTCCTTACTTCTACTAATCCAAGGGATAGTTTAATAGCAATGTTGTAGTCGTCTGATCCAAGCGTTCTAAAATATTGAGCAAATTACATGCCATCAATCTCCGATCTTCACAATTGTACATATTTGCCGTTGCACTCGTGTTTAAATTACCTTCATTTTATTAATTGTACATGGGACTGAGGCCTTAATGCTGAAAACAATGATTGACTGAATTCGTTGGAACATAAATTGTATGGTTTAACACGTCCTCTTAATTAATTCAGCTGTACATAACGGATACATGGACACTTGTTTGATAATCATTGCTTAGAAATTGACGGGTGACAAAGAAGGCACGATGTATGGATAGCAACTGAGGTTTTTCTTGACAATGATATAGATTGTATACCGAAACGTCGCTATACTAGTACATTAAAGAAGTTTACATCCATATAATGTGTCTACTTTGTAATGAACGGAGAGTTTCGAACGGAATTTTATTTAGCCACAAACTAAATAGTGAAACCTGCTCCTACATGTTAAACATAGCAATAGCAGTTCTTTAATATATATAATAGTGGTTGTTCAATATTCCACGGGCCAGTGATAGTGGTTGCTCAATACACCACGGGCCTGTAGTAGTGGTTGTTCAATACACCACGGGTCTGTAATAGTGGTTGCTCAATACACCACGGGCCTGTAATAGTGGTTGTTCAATACACCACAGGTCTGTAATAGTGGTTGTTTAATACACCACGGGCCTGTAATAGTGGTTGTTCAATACACCACGGGCCTGTAATAGTGGTTGTTTAATACACCACGGGCCTGTAATAGTGGTTGTTTAATACACCACGGGCCTGTAATAGTGGTTGTTTAATACATCACGGGCCTGTAATAGTGGTTGTTTAATACACCACGGGTCTGTAATAGTGGTTGTTTAATACACCACGGGCCTGTAATAGTGGTTGTTTAATACACCACGGGCCTGTAATAGTGGTTGTTTAATACACCACGGGCCTGTAACAGTGGTTGTTTAATACATCACGGGTCTGTAAAGTGGTTGTTTAATACACCACGGGCCTGTAATAGTGGTTGTTTAATACACCACGGGTCTGTAATAGTGGTTGTTTAATACACCACGGGCCTGTAATAGTGGTTGTTTAATACGCCACGGACGCTTGTTTATGTCTTGGTTGATAGCAGCTCTTCTGGATCTTTTTGTCTGTTGCCGGGGAGCGCTAACAGTTATATTATTCAATACAACTCGGGAACGTTCACGAAAATTAAAGGACTTTATCGTTTACGACCGAGGCTGACTAATACAATATCCAAGGCGGACAATGCTTAATATGACATAATCCAGCACCGAAGTTCACTCTTAATCCCGGACCATCTTTATTCTGCAACAATAATAAAGTCCACGAGTTCTGCAGAATCGTATATATCTTGCAACTGAAATATTGATATATAGTGTATGAAGGACGTGGATGGCGGCTGGACAAACACATGTCTCATTAATTCAAACCATGTGTGGGCATGGACGCTAAAACCTTCGCGATGAGGGGTAAGAAATAAGCGTGTTAAGACAAAAGTAGTTGAGTCCCCTTGTATTTACGGCTGGCTGCACTTACAGCTCAGTGAAGCGGCCTTTCAATGATTGAGACAAATAGTTGGACATGACCACGGGCACGTGATAGCGGTTCTTCAATGTACCACCAGACTGTAAAAGTAGTTCTTCATCACCTGTAATAGCGGTTCTTCAATATACCACGAGTCTGTAATAGTGGCTGTTCAACACATCGCGGGCCTGTAATAGCGGTTCTTCAATATACCACGTATCTGTAATAGTGTCTGTTCAACACATCGCGGGCCTGTAATAGCGGTTCTTCAATAT